GTTAACTCTAATACCAACTAATTAGTTAAGCAGAATTGATAAAGCTTTGTCTTTGCATCTGAGAACTTCTGGATAATGTGCACACAAGGTTTGGGCAGGTGGAGGGACAGAGAAGAGCATACAGGCAACACTAGTAGGCTACGTGCAGCCCAGAAAGCTCAACACTCTGGCCAGCTCCGGGACTGTGTCCTACTCCGGACCTGTCTCCTTCTGTGTTACCGCAGGCAGGCTTCATAACTTCCATACCCCCGTTTCTCCACCTATGAAATGGAAATGCTCATTCTTACTAGTCAGAACCCAGAGGGTGGAAGGACTGTGCTTACTGTGTGAAGGAGAAGCTTGGCTGGGTGAGTGCTCAGCTGCTAGCCCACCTGCAAAACCAGACCTGAGTGTTTGCTCCCATAAAGATTACGGCCTTCCGAACACCATAGGGCAGTTCTGCCCCGCCCCGAGGGTCACCATGAGTCCAAACGGGCTCGACAACAGACGGCAGCCACACAGGCAGGAAATCTTACATTCATAGCCGGCTTTCCTCGCTGTCTCCCAGAGGCACCCTGTCCTTATTACAAAGAGGCTTGCTTTCTTGTGGTGTTGTTTATTTCGTGCTGAAGCAGTACTGCTCTGCTTGCTTGCAGAATGGCTGGAGGGCCACTCAAGTGCTTTCTAAGGCTGTGCAACTCAGGAATGTTGGGGGCAGTTCAGAGCAGTGGGGGCAGTGTGGGTGTGTGTGTGTTGTTTATGGGCTGTTTGGAAGACAGGGACAGCAGAGAAGAGCTGTAGCTACGTGGCCTGTGAGGAATTTTGGGGAGAGAACTGAGGGGTTTTTTCCAAGATTCCTTCTGTTTGTGGAGTCCAGTGTGCTCTCCGTCTCCCCATGGCCCATGGGAAAGCCCACCATGTCTGAATGCATCACAGCATCTGTGCAGGAAGACTGGGATCCCCTCAGATGGGCCTGAGGGAAGGGTGGCTCCCAGGTCAGGCAGAGCACATGGACTCTGCAATTGCCTTTCCGTTGGTCCTGGCTGCCATCGCAGGTCCTGGTGTCTAAGCCTTCTCTGCTCCCTTCCCTGACCTTTTGCCTTATCCCTTCCCAGCCCTCCCCAAGCTCCACCAGAAGCCTTGCAGTTCATCACCGGCCCAGCTCCCAGCTGAAGGCAGCTCCTGCCTGGCCTTCAGACTCCACCCCGAGAAGCTCACCATAGAGAGCTCCCTCCCTCGTTGTTGGTGTTGGATGTCATCTAGTGACCCCATGTGACAGAGTAGAACTGCCCCACAGGGTTTCCAGGGCTGAAATCTTTCCAGAAGCAGATTGTCAGGTTTTCTCCGGCTGAGCCACTGGTCAGATCTTCCAATTATCAGTCACTGCGCTACGAGGGTGCACTACGAGGGTGCCCTATGAGCCCTTAGTCCCGCGTGGCACTTGATTTTGGCTTTTATTAAGTTATTGTTTCTTCTTGCTGTTTTGCTCTTTCTCTCTTCTTGTAACATCCATGATACAGAGCTACACAACCACATTCAAAGTCAAAATTCCCATCAGAGCACAGTAACTACTCTTAAGGGTGATCGAACCCTAACCACAGGCTTTTACTCACTTGGTGCTGGCAACAACCCTGGGGCAAGGAGTTGCCTTCCTCCTCATTTTACAGGTAAAGAGACAGTGATTCAAAGAGGTGAAACCACAAAACAAACTTCCACTGCCATCCCACTCCCAGGCCTCTCGTTCCTCCTGCACTCCACTCCCTGGAAGGGAATGAACTTGACCGAGGCACAGAGGAGGTCTGGAGGTGGTGGCTATGCTCAGCATGAGAGGGTGGGCACTTGGCATGCTCCTTGACTTTGTGGGCTCAGTAGTTGCATGCCCCTCTCTTCCCGCCGCCCTGCCGTCTGCACCATGCCCACCTCTGGCATCATCGGGTTCTACCTGTGCCTCGTGCTGCTCTGGGCTCATGGGGAAAGGGTTTACCATCTCTGGGAGCAGATTGGACTCAGTAATCTGCCTTGTTAGACTCTTCAGGTATCTTGGTCCTGTGGGCCCCTTCCTTCACTGGAAGCAGAGTGCCAACTGAGGAACGTCAGGATCACCCACGGTGATTTCACCTCCTGTCTCAAGCAGACTTGGCCACAGATCCCCCATTTTTGTCCATCCCTAAGGAGGGAGGGCAGTCATACCAAAGAGACAAAGTGGACATTTCCATGAAAAGCGAACTTGTGTTTGAGTCTGTGCCTGCCCCACAGCCTTCCCAGGGGAGCAGCACTGGGCTCTCTTCTGTCCTCCCAGAAGTGGACTGGCTGGGGCTCAAGTCCTGAAGTTGGGTGATGCTCCGGAGGGGCAGAGGAACCCTTCTTGCCCTAGAACCACTGATTGACAATTTGTCACTTGACAGGAGAAGAGGACAGAAAGATGTTAGGGAGGCATTGCCATCTCAGGAGAAAATCAGTGCCCCAAAGATCCAGTTGAGGTTGTGTTGTTGTTGGTTGGCGCCAGGCCAGTTCTGACTCACAGTGACCCTGTGTACAAGAGGAGGAAACCCTGCCTGTCCCTGCAATCACTGCTGTGTGGGGCCCACTGTCACCGCCACTGTGTCATTCCATCCCATGGAGGGTCTTCTTTTGGGGCTGACCTCTACTTTGCCAAGCATAATGTCCTTCTCCAGGGAAGTCCCTCCTAATCACATGTCCAAAATATGTGAAGCAATGTCTTACCAGTCTTGCTTCTAAGGAGCATTTTGGCTGTACTTCTCCCAAGACAGATTTATTGTTCTCCTGACAGCCCATGGTGGGTGTTCATTGTCCTTCGCCAACACTGTAATTCCCAGGTGTCAGCTCTTCTTCAGTCTTTATTCACAGTCCAGCTTTTCCATACACATAAGGCTATTGAAAATAACGTGGCTTGGCGCACCTTGGTTCTCAAAGTGACATCTTAGAAAGAAACATTAGCAGCAGATGCCGTATGTCATTTGATTTCTTGACTGCTGGTGTCATGGACACTGGCTGTGGATGGAAGTTAAAATGAAATCCTTGACAACTTCAGTGTTTTCTTGGTTTATTGTGATCTTGGATTCATATCGAAGGCTCTAGTATCTGATCTTCATTAGTAAATGTTTAAAGTCTCTGTGTTTTCAGCAAGCAAGGTTGTATCATCGGCATATCGCAGGTTATTAAAGAGCCTTCCTCCAATCCCGATGTGGTGTTCCTGTCCTTAGTGTCTGTTCTCTCAGATTATTAGCTGAGTATTACAGATGGAATCATTATGATGAAAAGGCACAGCCGTGACACACATCTCTCCTGACTTTAAACCACATGGTATCTCCTCGTTCAGTTCGATAGCTGCCTCTTGTTCTCTGGGCACATTCCGCATGAGCACAATGACGTGTTCTCAAGATCCGACTTGATTGGTTTAATGAACCAGAACACTTGAAAGTTAGACAGTATCAAAATGGAATAGCAAATCCACAAATTAAATTTTTATTGCAATCAGATTTTTTAAGGAAGCTATGTTTGTGATTCCTGAGAGGAAAGTGAGAAAACACTGCCCTGCATGGCCCTCAGACTCTCCCGCACGTGTGTCAAGTCTTTGGCATGGCTTTGCCTCTCCATTGCAGCTGGAAAGAATTCAGTAAAGCAAGATATATTATTATGGTTTATTACGTCAACGTGTATGTAGGAGTTACTTAGAATCCAGACAATCAGCTACCTCTTCAATGCTATCCTCCGCTGTTTTGTCAGTGTTCTAAGTGAAGCGTCATCTGGTACTCCACAGGCCGCCTTTCAGGAGTTCCCAGAAGTGTCACCTCCCTGAGGATAACTGGAAAAGATGTGCTTCAAGCACAAACAATCCATTCAGTTCTCAAAGCTTGGATCCAGTGAAATGTTTGTTTCTACAACTGTATTTTTTCAAGAGCCATGTTAGAAGCAAAGATAAGGCTTTAGAACTCCCTGAATGGGAGGCCTGGGCCACCCAAGTAGTCCTACCAGATGCCCTGTCTTTCCAACTCCCAAAAGTGTCGGCAGAGCCCACTCCCTCTTTCCTTTCCCACCCACCGCTGCCTGTCTTGTCTTTGCAATGGGGTTAGTAGCACTTTCATTGGAGAAAATGATTTCTCTGCCACCCGGTGACGTATCTGCTGTCTTGGTTTCACTGTTTGCATCTTTTGTCCACTTGTACTTGTTGTGAAGGCTGAGCTTTGTCCAGTTCTGCTAAGGCCAGTCCTCAGAGACAGCGTTGAACGGCTGGCCTGCCACTATGAGCTTGGTGTTACCAGCTTATGTACACCCATGTTGAGAAGTCATTTTCTTTATGTCTGATCTGTATGTCTTCCATCTGTGTTTCCCCAAGTAGCACACAGACCTGGCATGGCATCAAGGGGAAATTGCCCGATGGCACTCACTATGAGTTAGGTGTTGGGCTGCTAAGCGCCAAACCTATCAGCTGTTCCTCTGGCTACAGATGAGGCTGTCTGCTCCCATCAAGCTTGGCAGTCTTGGAGCCCTAGCTAATGTCACTGAAAGTTGGAACAGGCTTGATGACAGTGTGTTTCCTTTGGTTTGTTATCAACCCCATGAGCATTTCTCTGCCCTCCATTCCCTTTCCATGGCGTCTTTTGACTGCATTCAGGAGAATGCCATAGTGTGAGGTCAGTCTGTCCTCCCTGCCTGTCAAGTACCTGCCAATCTTCGTTTTGCCTAAGACAGCAGGCCAATGGCCACACCAAATACTCAGGCACTCAATGGTGTTGAGTAGAATGTGAAAACATGGCTTGATTTTCATTTTCTTTTCCTAATTACTGTCAGTTGTTGCAGTGAGGCTGATGGCCATTTCCAAGGAGCCATAGGAAGTGTACTTGTTACGACACTTGCTTGAATTCACTTGACAGAAAACAGTGAGGTGCGTTACAGTCCAGACAGTACGCACACACTTTGGAAGCAGGAATCACACAGACCTTGGGGTAGAGGTGAGGCAAGTCTGCTCCATGGTCATTGTCACCTTTGCTTCATTGCAGGCATGGATCCGGAAAAATTAGAGCGAATCCAGCTCCCGGTACCAAATGCACCTGAGAAGACCACCTACAACCATCTCCTGACCGAAAGGCTCATCAGGATAATGAATAATGCGGCCCAGCCAGGTGCCTGGAGAGTGTGGTCTGTGTGCAGCGGGAGTGGGGTCCGAGGGACCAGGGCCACACATTGGCCACCAGGGTCAGGGCTTGAGCTACCCCAACACTAGATGAACAGAGGCTGCGCAGGAAAGGGTACCACTGACTGATGGGCTGGCAAGGGCTAGCCATGCCCCCTAGACCTAGCCATAGTCCTAACCCTAACTCCTTACTCCTAGCTTCACACACACACACAAGTAAACACAATAAAAACACAGGTCTTCCTTTTAAATATAAATGAATTAAGTAAATAAAAATTTGATGTCAGAAGAGACTTTGAAATTTGCTCTTGAACCTCAAGTAGCTTAAGCAAATGAAAGAAATGCTTAAGTAAAAGAGCTGAATAGAAGATTGCAAATGATGTCTTGAGAAGAAAATGTAAGTATTATAATGAAATGTGGAAAGACCTCGAGTTAGAAAACTAAAATGTTCAGCATTTCTCAAGCCTCAAGTAGCAATACAAGGGGGCTTCAGAAGTTTCAGGAAAATTGGAATGAACGTTTTGAAGCTCCCGCATTAAAGGATTCTGTGGGCAAAACATTGAATGACGCAGGAAGCCTCAAAGGAAGATGAAAGGAGTATACAGAGTCACTGCACCAAAAATAAATTCCCTGACATTCAACCATGTTAGGAGGTAGGATATGATTTTTTTAAAAAAAAACAACCCCGTGGTAGTGAAGGAAGAAGTCCAAGCTGCACTGAAGGTGTTGGCGAAAAACAAGGCTCCAGAAATCAACAGAAGGCCAATTGAGATATTTCAGCAAATACATATAATGCTGGAATATTTTCTCCACTGTGCCAAGAAATGTGGAAGACAGCTACCTGGCCAACCAACTGGAAGAAATCCATGTTTGTTAAGTATTCCAAAGAAAGGAATCAACAAATACATAATTAATATAACATGCAAGTAAAATTTTTCTGAAGATCATTCAAAACCAGTTGCAGCAGTGCATCGACAGGGAACTAACTGCCAGAAATTCACACCACATTTAGAAAAGAAAGTGGAGATGGGATATCAATGCTGATGTCAGATGGATCTTGACAAAGCATAAAAGACCAAAAAGATGTTTACCTATGTTTTGTTGGCTTTGCAAAGGCATTTGACTGTATGGATCATAATAATTTATAGATAACACTGCAAAGAATGGGAATTTCAAAACATTTGTGTTCACATGTTCATAGACCACGAGGCAGTCATTCGAACAGAACAAGGGGATGCTGAATGTTTTAAATTCAGCAACAGTGTGCGTCATACTTGGATCCTTTCACCATCCTTACTCAGTCTGCATGCTGAATAAATACTCTGAGAAGCTGGACTACGTGAAGGAAAATGTAACATCAGGATAGGAGGAAACTTCGTTAACAACCTGCGTGGTCAAGTCCACTTCGCTTGCAGCGAGCAAGGTTGTGTCATCTGCACATTGCAAGCATTTCATATATGGATTGTACTTGAACATAAGCAGAAATCCTCATAAATAAACCAATAAACATCACGATTAACAGAGAAATGAAGTAAAGGATTTCATTTTACTTGGACCCCTACAATCAATGCCCATGGCAGCCGCAGTTAAAAAAACCAAAGGATATACCGTATTGGGAAAAACAACTGCAAAAGGCATCTTTAAAGTGTTCAAAGCAAAGATGTCCCTTTGAGAACTAAGGGGCTCCAACCCAAGTCTTGGTATTTTCTGTCCCCTTATGTGCATACATGGGCTGGACAGGGAATAAGGAAGACTGAAGAATGGTTGAGGCATTTGAATTATGGCATTGGTGAAGAACACCTGAACTAGAAGAACAAACCAATATGTGTTAGAGAAGGACAGCCAGAATGCGCCTGGGAAACAGGATGACAAGACCGTTTCATATACTTTGACATGTTATCAAGAGGAACCCATCCCTGAAGAAGGACATCATGCTTTGCAAAGTGGAGGGTGAGCAAAGAAGAAGACCCTCAGTGAGTTGGAATGGCACCGTGGTACCAAAAGTGGGTTCAGACATAACCGTTGTGATGACGGCATGGTGGGTGTTTCGTTGTGTTCTACATAGGTCACTGGGAGTCAGAACTGACTAAAGACATCAGACGGCAACAGCAAACAGGAATGGTGCTGAGGTAGAGAAGTCCTGATCTCTAGGTGAATTCTTTGCTGTGAGGGCACGGCCCACAGCCTACCCGAGGCATCAGGAGCATGAGAGCGTGGACCCTGGTCATCTCAGGCAAAGAGCAGAGTTACAAGACTGTGACTGGAGAATGCGTCAGAAGCAGAGGGTGTGTGGGTTCTGAGTGGTGGCCAGTGGAGGGTGACCAAGTGGAAGGACCTGGAGGTAACGACAGTGTATCAGGTCAGCGGCCTCAAGGGCCTCAACAAGCATTTTGAGAGTATGTTCATGTGACGTGTTTACAGAGTGCCTCCTGCATGCCAGGCACTATGTGTGAGTGACAAGGGGACAGAGAAGAGTGGGGCCGTCCCTGAAGGAGCCGGAGCGGATGCTCTGTGAAGTCTGAGTTCAGAGGGGGTTAGGACTGGATTGAACAGCTGGAGGCATGGGCATGGGCTGATGAGACGGCTACATTTTACTCAGAGGTGGCCTAGAGCAGCCAGAAAAGAAGAGCGGGGCACAGGATGAAGGGGCCTCTATGGAGTGGAGGAGGGTAGAGTGAAGGCTCCCTGATGGCTGATTAAAGACAGCCCAACCCGTTTGTCTGAAAAGAAGGGTTGGGCAGGTCCAAGGGCTGTCTGACTACTGTGTGGAAGAGCAGGAGTACCCCATAGACTCCTCTCAGGAAAGCCTACCAGTGGGAGGAGGTAGCTGGGAAGGAGGAAAAGTTTTGCTGGAAAATCATCTTGTGGCGCTGCAAGTTCAGTTTCAGTCGCAAAGTCAGCATTTCAGGCTCATCAGGCGCTCCTCGGAAACCCTGTACAGGATTGCTATGAGTCAGAATCGACTTGGTGGCATTTAACAACAGCAGAAAGGCAACACGAGGGGTGTGGAGAAAGAAAGTTTTCTGGATGGCGCAGCTGTGGGTGTTGTTTCGTGGACAGGCAGGATGAAGCACGGCTGAAGAATTCATCGAACTTAGACCCACAGCCTTTTTCCGGGGTGGCCTCAGCTTCGGCTCATGCTCGAGCAGCGTGTTCTGTGTGTGTACTTCAGTCTTTTGAGGGATCAGATTCCCTCTGTGTCTGTTAACAAGATGGCAGGCAGAGGAATGCGTGGTGGTGATGCCTCTACCCCAGCGAGGCCTTGCCCTCGTCCTCTCGCTGTGGAGACCCATGGAGGAGTTTGCATGAGGACAGTCACACCAGTCAGGCTGCCACAGAGGCTTTTGTGAGGAGCCAGGTGTGCAGTTCACTGCAGCCCGGCTGAGAGAGCCTAGGCAAGTCACTTCCCTTGTCTTAAGTCAGGTCCTCAGGGCCGCACGTATAGAACACTCAGCACCTGCCTGGCCCACAGTGTGCTCGAAGGCTGCGTTGGTCACACTTGGGTGTCATTGACTGAAACCCAGGTCAAACTGGTGTTAATAATACGACAGAAATAAGCACACGCACATGTGTTGACCTGGGTCACTAAAAAGTCATTGGTATCTGGGCTTCAGACATAGCTACATCCAGAGGTTCAAATCCTGCCTCCTCGTCTGTCTTTGGTATCTGTGGTTCTTTGAGCAGGGTCCAGCCATCCCTCCTCTCTGACCAACCAGCCTAGTGGAGGAGGGGGTCAGCTCCATCCAAATCACATGACCAAGTGGGGCCAGCGACTCTACAAAGGAAAATCTCTCTCTGAAGAAGGAAAAAGATTGCTGGAGAAGTGAAGAAAATAGCCACAGATTGCCACTTTCTAATAAGCCTTCAGTTATAATGAACCAGTTATAATGAACCAGTTATAATGAACCAGTATAATGAAGCCTTCTGTTATAATGAACCAGTTGCATCAAGTCAGTTCAGACTCATGGTGACCCCACGTGTATTAGCGTAGAACTGAGCTCCTTAGGGTTTGGGCTGATTTTTTAGAAGTGGGTCACCAGGTGTTTCTTCCAGGGTGCCTCTGAGTGGAGTCAGCCTTTTTTAATCTTTGGGTTAGCAGCTAAACTGCTTAACACTTGCACAATCTTCTTTTCTCCCCTCGTCCTGGTAGAAGGCCTTCTGGAAGTATTTGGCAGAGCCCATTTTGATGGGGGCTTTGCCTTGTAATGGACTGGCGGGGAGGGGCTGGCATATGGGGGCTCCCTCTGTGTCCCTGCTGGGTGTTTGGACCTGGTGTGATTGTGGTGCCTTGTCTGCAGACGGGAAGATCCGTTTGGCGACGCTGGAGCTGAGTTGCCTGCTCCTAAAGCAACAAGTCCTGACCAGCAGCTGCTGCATCATCAAGGATGTGCACCTGGCCTGCCTGGAGGTGAGCCTCTCCTCCTCACTTTCCTAGGACCGCCAGGACAGGAGCAGCAGGCGGCTGGGCGGGCTACTGCTGGCCTGCGCATCACAGTCTGGGGCTTGATGTCCCCTCCAGCTCCGGTGCCACTGGAGACTTGCTGCAGCTGGGATTTGTGTGAAGAGCCACTAACTGTGGCGTTTCAGTGCATTCTGTTACAATTATTTGGCTTTTGTGTTTACTCCCAGGATTTTTCCTTTTGTCTTACAAAAGTGCTCTATGTATATATGTGCACACATAACACACATGTACAGTTGTCATGTTTTCAGCAATTTTTAACAAACAGTTCCATGTTTACTTCAGAAAATGCAAGAGCAGCAAAAAGTGACAATAGTTAACACTTTTGTGTGAATTTACACTGTGCATGTAGCCACAAGCACACACACACATCCAGCGCACTTACAAAAGTTTGTGGAAAATTGGTATTAAAAGATAATGGGATTTTTCTGCAAACTCTTTGAAACCCATATATATATAGACATATGTACACAAATGAAATTTCTTTTTATGAAAATGGAGTGATAATGGCCACATTTTGTAACTCATCGTCCCTCCGTTCCGCTCATTGGAATGTCTTCTCCTCTGCCCACTTTTATTTTGTGGTCACTCCCCTGCTTGCCTCTTGGTATGAACTACATCTCCTATTACTGAGATGAGCCCAGCATATGTTTTCTCTCCATTCAGACTTTAGACTTAACAATTTACCCAACTCGCTGACCTCCGCAAGACTTGCCTCCTTCACGCCTTTCTCCTCTCTCTGACAGGGTGCCAGAGAAGAAAGTGTTCACGTGGTGCGGCATTTTTATAAGGTAAAGCGCTGGACAGCGTCTGCCCTGTACCAACAGGGGCGTGCTGTCTAGGCCTGTGCACATTGAAGTCACAGGTCTTGGGTTCTTTTTTTCTGAGTGAAAAATGTTCCATGTCCTAATCTCCAGAGCTGTGGTCTCTGAACTTTGCAGCCCATCAGTGAAAGTTTTGAACACTCAGCTCTCTGATGTTGTTAAGCGCCATCGAGTCAATTCTGACCCATAGCGACCCTGTATACGTTTCTAAGGAGCTGCTGGTAAGCTTGAACCACCAACCTTGTGGTTCAAACTGACCTTGCAGTCCAGCGCACTAACCCACAGTGCCACACCAGGAGTCCTATACCAGCTCTCCTATACAGACTGTCTATTTATGAATTTTAAAGACATTTGTTTATTTGTGAATTTATATATAAATTATGAATTGTATGCACAAATTGGTAAATTATGTACAATGTGCTTATATATGAATATATGTGTGTATATACATATATATAAATTCTGTACATGCCATACATAAGAACATATATATGAATTCTGTATATTATATGCATTTGTTGTGAAAGTTTTGAGCACTCAGCTCTATGTTGTTGTGGTTGTTAAGTGCCGTTGAGTCAGTTCTGACTCATAGTGACCCTGTATAGGGTATCCAAGGAGTGGCTGGTAAATTTGAGCTGCTGACCTTGTGGTTCAGACTGACTTTGTGGTCTTGGGCTTTAGCCCACAGCACCGCGGTGGTGGTGGTGATGTGCCTTGGAGTCAGTTCCGACTCATAGCGACCCTGTACAGGGTTTCCGAGGCTGTAAATCTTTTCTCCTGCGGAACGACTGGTAGTTTCAAACTGCTCACCTTAAGGTTCGCAGCCCGATTCGTAACCACTACACTACCAGAGCTCCTTCCACAGCGCCATAGCTTCTAAAAAAACAAAACTTCATACAGGTTTCTAAACATATATCATTACATTTAGTGAGATTTTTGTAACATACCAGTGCAGGACTGGGCAGTGTTTCATTTATGGTCTTCATAATCTGGAAAATTTGTTGACGTTTGTCTTCAGGTTCCAAATGAGTCATTTAAAAAATATCGAATCATGGTGGTTTTGTTTAGCTCATGTCTTGAGTTACGATGTATTCTTAGGCGAGGCTCATCCTGTGTTAGCATTGGTGGATTGAGCCATATTCCAAATAGGCCTAATTATTTTCACATTTGTTGGCTTACAGTCAGGTCCCATTGGGCGTGGGTTCCTCTCCAAATGTGGCTGCTGCAGGCCCCCTGGAAGGGGAGGCCGCTCGGCTCCACCCTGTTGTTCACCTGTGCTTTCATTACTAGCAGTCTCTCAGCCTCAATTTCTGTGTGGGAACCTTTACAGCCATTTGTGCATTGTTCTCAGGGTTCACTGAGATGAAACCAGGTCATATAATATGGAAACCCACCCACCAGGCTTCGCTGACCTCCATCCAGCTGTAGCACGTAAGACATGCCCGGGTGAGGATGGCACCACCACTAGCCCAGATAGGAAATCCCAGGCTCCCAGACCCACTTTGCCTCTAGTGAGGGCAGACCTCCTTCAGCGCCGCAGAGAAGGAAGCAGAACCCTCAGGATTGCATTTGGCATCTTTGAGCCTCCTTCCAATATAGCTCTAAGTTTATTTCCCAAGTTGTAGAAGTTTTGCAGCAAGTTTATGGGAATGCTTTCCCACATAAAACAACAGTTTTAGATGGATCAAGTGTTTTAAGGAAGGTCGGAAAGACCTCAAAGATGAATCAAGAGAGGGAAGACTGATGGTCAGCCTCGACAAATGAAAAAAACTGGCTAATGTCCAGAAACTCGTGGAAGAGAACCATGGAATTACCACTGATGCAATAGCTGCTGAAGCTGAGTCCTCACATGGCCCAACAGTTTCACTCTGAGGTAGACCTTTTGGCCTCAGCAGGCTTCTGACCAGATAGATGCTGAAAGCATTGCAGGAAGATCAGCGAGCTCAAAGAACTCATCTTTCCATCAGTCTTTTAAGTAAGATCAAAGCCAATGTAAACAGTTTTAAGGAACACATCCTAACGAGGGGGTGAGTCTTGCACTTACCATTGTGATCCAGAGAGCAGGATCCCATCAGAACACTGGCTTCCAAGCAGATCTGCGGGGTCCGTTACATTCATGGCCAAGAGGTGAGCTTATAAGTTTATGATGACCTTTTTTTTTTTTTCCCAAAGGAATCTTTCAAACATAGGGACCCAAACTTAGGGGTCCTTCCAAAGGGATCTATCAAAGATCTTGATAGATCTTCTTGAAGGACACAGGATAGCCACAGGTTTATTATGAAGATGTTTTAAGAAACTGAAAATTACATTGGGTGAGAAAAAGGCCAGGAAAGTTGCAGTGAGGAAATTTTGTCCATCATAATTGCACCTGCTCATTCTTTGAAGGCAGCAGGGGCTGTCCTATGACAATCTCACTGGGAAACCTTACCCTGTCCACTCTGCAGCCTGCTCTTACCCTTCACACTTTTTTTTGTTGTTCCCAAAAGTTTAAAAAATATATATTTGAGCCCCTTAAAATGCCAAAATTACTATTTTGATGTGTAAATTGAAGAGTGTGAAATTCTTCAGGGAAGAGATGGAAACAGTTCCTTTGAAATTATAGGAGGGACCTTGAGAAAGTTCGTAGAAAAGTTCGATTATGTTTTTCTTTTGCTGACCCTCTACTTTATCCTCCACGTGATGTCCTTCTCCAGGGACTGGTCCCTCCCGATGACATGTCCGATGTGCATGAAAGCACATCTCAGCATCCTCACTTCTAAGACACATTGTACTTGTACTTCTTCCAAGACAGATCTGCCTGTGCCTCATTAATGCTGGCCAACTGGAGGACGTCAAGTCTCACTTCAACCCTTTGTCGGGAATGATAGCTTTCACTCTCTGACCCTCGATTTCTTGATCTGTACAGTGGGTTGCCAGAAGAACAAACAAATCTGTGGTGGAAAAAGTGAAGCTGGAATGCGCCTTAGAAACAAGGGTGGTAAGACTTTGTCTCACATACTTTGGACATATTGCTAGGAGAGACCAGTCCCTAGAGAAGGACATCTTGCTTGGTAAAGTGGAGGGTCAGGGAAAAAGAAGACCCTCAACAAGATGGATTGATACAGTGCCATCAGCAATGGGCTCAAACCTGGTAACCATTGTGAAGCTGATGCAGGACCGGGCACTGTAGAGGGGTCACCAAGAGTTGGAACCTACGTGATGATCCTGGGACTGCAGAATACATAAAGATGTATTTACAAGCATTTTCTTAGAAGGGTTTCCTTTTGTATTAACAAAGGGAGGACTGTATTTGAATTTGGGCTCCTGCTGCCTTCATACCCAGGGTTTTTTTCTGTAAGATTTACACTGTAGATGGAATGTCTTAGAAACCGTTGAATGGTTTCAGGGATTGTAATTTCCATTGGTGGTATCTGGAGGCTACTTGGTGCCACTTAACAACAACAACAACAGACCATGCAAGAGTATTCAAGTTTATCTGTAGTTCTGATAACTGGAAATAGATTCCCGCTCCCTGTTTTCTTCTCTTGGACTCATTCAGGACTCAGGAGAGAGACAAGAATTCTAACAGAGCATCACACAGCTTAATCTCCTGTTCTGTCCCTACCTCTGGTCTTTCTAGCAGTGACCATGAAGGCAGTGAGCATCGTTCTCCCAAGCCCTTCCAATGGCAGGCTGTATGCTCCACACATCACAATGACCCAGACAGGCTGTCAGTCAATCTTGCAGCAAAGCAAAAAGAGGCTCCAAGAGGTAGAACTTCCAATATGTGAACCCTGGTTCACATATTTCAAAGAGCTCTGGTAGCGCAATGGGTTAAGTGTTGGACTGCTAATAAAAAAAATTGGCAGTTCAAACCTCATAGCCGCACCGTGGGCCAAAGATGAAGCACTTTGCTTCCGTGAAGATTTTCAGCCTTCCAAACCCTGTGTAACAGTTCTATGCTCTCCTATAGAATTGCTTTGAGTTGGAATTGGCTCACTCGCTGTGGGTTTTACATGTATCACGGAGTTCCCAGGTGGCACAAACAGTTAAGCACTAGACTACTGTAAAGGCTGGTGGCTCAAATCCATCCTAACCACGTCAAAAAAAAGTGGTAAAACTTCACAGCCATTAAAAAACCTGTGGGGTCGCTATGAGTTGGAATCACCTTGACGGCAAGGTTTTGGTTTTATGTATCTCAGAGCCCCTGTTCTGAGGGGACCTTCCAAGCAGACTCATGACCCTGAGGGAACTACAAAATCTCGAAGGAGCGCCTCAGAATCAACAGAAGAAGCCGCCTCATTGTACCGTTAAGCCGGTGTTATGATGCTCCTTTCCTTTCAGTGGTTGGAACCTTCTCCCTTTACGGTGGCACTTTTACCACATCTTGTTCTTTCTCCAACCATTCTGGATTAACCAATATTGCTAAATACTTGAAATATTAACCTCTTCTTTCTGTATTTTAATTGTATATGGTGCTATTTTTGCTCTTATTTTAAATTAATTTCTGCGACCAGAGAAATCTCACTCCTTAGCTTAATGGAAAAAAGAAAGGGGGAGAAAAGTATCGTGTGGTGCAATTTGATATTGTGAGTGTGTGTGTTCACGTGTGTGTCTTGCTTCCTGGTGATTTACGAGAAGTCACTAATGAGAAACAGATGTCCCCAAAAGCCACAAACTGGAGCTTAGAATACTTTGTTGTTTGTGGAGGGGAAAATATGAATAGCCTTCTCTCTCCTCCTTTCTTCTTAGGGAGAAGAAATTTTCCTGGACATGTTTGAAGATGAGTACAGGAGCATGACGGTAAGGGACTGGCCAGAATGCTCACGTTGGTGTGTCCCTGCGGCTGCTGAGCCCACCCAGCCAAGCTGAGAGGGACTCAGTAACTGGGGGATCTCCGACCAAGTGAAGCAAACTGAGCATGGCACTTTTCCATCACCACCTTGGTAGAGATTGCAGATCAATCCACCGCTCCCAGGATGGGTCAGAAAGAGCCACTTTGATGCGAGTCATATTTTTGCAGGCTTCTTTTTTCAGTAATTATTTTAGTGTTTTATTCTTCTCAACCAGTTGAGGATAAACTTTAGACATTGTGTCCCTTCATCCATAAATACATCCACGTGTTTCTCTTAAGACCAAAGGCATTCTCTTATTCATCTTTAGGACAATTACCACATTAAGGAAGTAGCATTGCTACAACAAGGAGCCCTGAGATGCAGTGCTTAAGAGCCTAGCTGCTAACCTCAAGGCTGGTGGTTCAAACCCACCAGCCGCTCTAAGGGAGAAAGATGAGGCCAGCTACTCCTGTGAAGATTTACAGCCTTGGAGGAAATCTGGTGGAATGGCTCGACCCTGTCCTGTAGGGTCAATCTGAGTCAAAATTGGTTTATTGATACAACACTGGAAGCAGAAGGAACACCCTCTGTTGGTGCCACAGCCTCAAGAAAGAGACACGCTCTGGAACATTCCAGTGGGGTGATGGGTTGAGAGGAAAACAGCTCAGCTCAGCCACTCACCAGACCTTGTTGGAAACAGGATGCCAATGATGGTAGCTGCTCCCATTGGGTTCCTGTGAGGATCAAGAGCTTTAATATGTAGAAGGTACTTTACAGGGCTGGCACAGAATCAGCCCTCTTCCCCATCAGGGGCACTGAGCATCTCTTAGGAGGAAGGACAAAATCTGGAAAGTGCGAGTGGCGGTAGTTGTACAACATGATGAACATGAATAACGTCACTAAATTGTCCACATAAAAAGTGTTGAAGTGGCAGATGTTTTGTTATCTACGTATTTACCACATTTAAAAAAGAAAGCAGTTTCGGGGCCAAACCAAAACCAAACCATAGGCATCAAGATGATTGTAATGCATTGACCCTAATGGATACAATTGACCCGTAGCCTATTGTAATGATAGTAAAGCATTGACCCTAAAGGATGCAGTAGAGCTGCTTGGTAGGGTTTCTGAGATCCAAGCTTTATGGGAACAGACAGCCTTCTCTTTCTCCCATGGAGCAATGAGGGGGGTTTGAAATGCCAACCTTGTGATTAGCAGCTCAGTGCTTAATGCACTATGCCACCAGGGCATCTCAGTACTGAGACAAAAGGCACATTACGAACATGGACTATGTAATGAGATAACACGTGGCTTTCTGCTCCTGCAAAGATTTACAAGCTCAGAAGCCCTATCCAGGGTTGCTTTGAGCAGGAACTGACTGACGGCCCTTAACGACAGCAGCTTGCTGTTCTGCTGGGTTAGTAGGTGATAGATGGTCTTCCTCGTGGGCATTACTCACCAAAGAGGGAAGCGATTTGGGACATTTATCATCAACCTAAGTGTGTAAGGTGTCAGAAAGGGGTAGGCAGGGAGGGAGCGCCAAGAGGCTCTTCTGCTTCCAGCCCCTTCACCTGGGGCCTGCACACAGCCAGACGCACCACACCCTCCTCATGGCATGGATGGGGCCTCACAGGAGCCTCTTCAGGGGGCAAATGTAAGTTTGGCGTAGTTCATCTCCAGAGTTGCCCAAGGTGTTCACAGCAGCCCTTGCGCAGGCCTCCTCATGGTCACACGGGGCTGCTCTTGTCCACCCCTCACCTCTTAGGTCCTCTGGCCTTTGAGGTGAGTGTCTTTGCCCACAGACTGGTAGAGCGACATGGCTTTGGCTGTCGTTCATGGTTCTGTCCCCTCCATCATGTGATTCTCCAGTTTGGCTTCCTGTTTGGAATCATAGGGCTCGTGTGTTCATTGACTCTGTGGAAAACCTTGAGTTTTCAGCCCCACCACATCTAGCCCTCTGAGACTCCATAACTGGCCAGAGACGCCAGCTGCTTCAGTGTTGTGCCGGGGCCTTCTTCAGCTGTGAAGTGGGGCCTGTGCCTTGTAGCTGCCTGAGCGAGGTGGAAAACCCTGTGTACTCCCACCCCCAAGGAGCTTCCTGGCTTTGTTGCTCTGTTTGTCCTGTCGCCTGCACAATGCCCTGCTCTCCTAAGAAACACAAAGCCGAACTCCCCCTTTCTCTTACCCGCTCCAGTCTCCTTAACTAAAAGTCAGTCCTTAGCCCATCCACCGCTGAGGGAAAGGAAGTGGGCCCAGAAAGCCAGGCCTTGACTGTTGCATGAGGCGTGAGGAGTCTTAGCAACAGCAGGCCTGAAGGGGCTTACGCTATGGGCAGAGAGCACAGGGGAGCTTCAGGAAGAGGCAGGAGGGGGTACAGAAGCTTGGGGCATCTGGATGGCTGGATTCCATGCTGCCCCCTGTCCCCCTTATTCAGCTCTGTGTAACATGGGAACAGTGGATGATCACTTTGAGACCCACTTTCTGTTTGAAGGGAAGACACCAAAGAGGTTGTGAGACTTGAGGAAGGTAAAGGAGTTCTATAGAAGGTTCACCTTTGGAAAGTGTCGTTTCTTTACCGTGCCAGGCATGTGAGGCGGCTGTGTGGGGTTGCAGAATATGAGCAGAGTCAGTGGTTCACAGTGATGAAGGGACCTGTCCCAGTGGGGAGGAAATGTCACCATGCCGCTCAGTGATGGACGGCTGTGTGCAGGTGGCAGTGTGGAAGGAGCAGGGCAGTACGCCCCTCCATGGCATGCACACCTCCTTCCTGGAGCTCATTGTCCCCCAACGATAGGGATAGTACTCTAACACACCGTCTGGGAGGCATGAGTTTGGCAGGTGTGTGTAGTAGATGTTTGACAAGGATTTGCTGGTTTATTCATAAAGCATATTACCACGGCTGGGAAACAACTTGGGGTCTGGAACAAGACCAGCCTGGGTTTGTGTCCTGTACCCAGCCATCGGCTTCTTGGAGCTGCAGTTTTCTCGTCAGTAAATGGAAGAGCATCCTTGTCGAGTTGCGAGTGGGTTGACCAGGAGCCGGCACATGAAGCGCTTAGCTCGTAGGCCTGCCCTGTGGTCAGTCCTCATTCAACCGGAGGTCATCGCTAAGACTGTTCCCATGGAGGCATGCTCACCCTCAAAGGGTGGGTCATCCTGAAGGGTTCAGCCTTGGAGAGCCCCTGTGTCCCTGCTGGGGGAGTGCAGTGCAGAGGGAATGAGGGTTAGAAAGCAAAGCTTTTCTTTGCCAGGAAGCAACTTCTCCAGTGTCCGAGCTGTCACTTCAATTATTGTAAAATCTTGCAGTTTAGAAAAACATCCCCTCAGGCTAGCTGGGGAACTGCCCTGGCCCAGCCTGCCCCTTAGGTGAGTGCCCTCCCGCCTGGCCTCCCGTCTGAGAGGTTTCTCGTGTCTCCTTCCTAGATGAAGCCCATGAATGTGGAGTACCTCATGATGGATGCCTCCATCCTCCTGCCCCCGACGGGTACCCCACTGACGGGCATCGACTTTGTGAAGCGTCTGCCGTGCGGTGACGTGGAAAAGACCCGACGGGTGAGTGGGCCCTGCCTGCCCTTCTCCCAAGGCGCTGACCCCACAGCCACTCCCAAGGTCTCAGCTCTAGTTCACATAGTGGGTGATGACCACCCTCAGGGCTAAGGGTGTTGCCCTCTGCATCACAGCGTTGGAATTCCTCTGGCACCAATAGCAGTTGCAGACAGGAACCCTGAGCTGTGAGAGGAAGCCAGGAGGCTGGCTTCCTGCCCGGGACCCCTAGGAGACTGTGCGGCTGATGACATGCTGGTTCTCCTGGCCGCTGAGGGGGTGTGAGAGTGCGGTCGTTCTCAGAAGCTGGCTGGATCGCGCTGCCGTCATCAGCACACATGTTTTTTCTGAAGCAGGCGCTCTAGGAAACCGACTTAGCGAGGCTGTTCATGGTATTTTATCACCCTTGTAAGATCGCAGTTTCTTTCTTGGAAAGCACCAGAACCTTTTCCTAGAAACTGCTTCCCTGGAGACAGAGCGGTACTGGATAATACAGAGAGCTCAGCACACCTGTCCCAGGTTATCAGCCTGCACTTTCCTCCCTGTGTAGCCTGGCGGCAGAGATGGTACACTTTTTGGTGTTTGAAAAGCAAGAGTGATAGTCAGTGTCTGTCTCAGACCAGAGGATTCTATGGCCTTCCTTCACCGCTCCTCCTTCCACCCACGGCCCCCCCACTCCTGGTCAGCGGGGTACAAAGGAAGTCAGACCCATGAATCTTATGTCAGTTCACATTCCTGGTTGGCTGAGCAAACCCACAAAGCTCACCACACAACCCACCGTGCTGTGCAAGCCGCCCACGTCTGTCTTCCAGAGCCTGGCCCGGGCTGCAAACCCCACCAGCCGGGCACCGGCTTGCCTTATTGGGTGACAATGTCTGCATTGGCCATCCCTGGTACCAACACCCTCGGAGGACTGGCACCTTCTTAATGCACACTCACCTGGAGCTGACCCAGGAGATGCTCTAGGTGGGCGTCTCTTCCCTGCGGGAGAGGATGCCGGGTCCCCAGGCAGAGAAGGCCAGCCTCAGGCCTGCTGAGGTCCTGAGCCAACAGGCCAGTGGGCAGTGGGCAGAGAGCTGCTCTCTGCCTTCGCTATGGTTCATGGCTCAATTAGATTCTCTTAACATCATATGTGATTAGAGGAAGCCTAGTGGCACAATAACTGCTGGCTGAAAGGTCAGTGGTTCAAACCCAGCAGCCGCTCTACAGGAGAAAGATGGGGCTGTGTGCTCTAGGGTCACTCGGAGTCAGAATTGACTGGAAACAGTGGGTTTGTCTTCTGGGGGTACAAGCAGGTGTGTCCCTCATGACAAAGTGGATCTTTTGTATCTGTTATCTACATGGATTTTCTCATTTGATCCTCACAGCCACCTAGAAAGTTGGCACTGTTGTTAGCCCCATTTTATAGAGGAAGAAACTGGAGCCCAGAGAGGTCAAGTGATTTGCTCATGGTCACTCAGCTAGTAAGAAGCAGAGCTGGGATTCATCCTAGGCTGGGTAGCCTCCTGAGCCTCCTAAACACCTCACCCTTTGGCCCCTGGCTCCCACTGTTGTTGTTGTTGTTAAGTGCTGTCAAGTCAGTTCTGATCCATAGTGACCCTGTATAGGGTTTCCAAGGGGCAGCTGGTGAGTTTGAACCACCGACCTTGCAGTTCAAATGGCTTTGCAGTCTGGCGCATTAACGCATAGCGCCACCCCAGGATTTCTTGGCTCCCACTCTACCTCCTTATATGGGCCACCTCAGTACTGGACTGTCGGGGTTCAGGACCCATGGACTGGAGGCCGAGGTGAGGAGGAAGGCAGGGGGTGTGTCAGGTTCCTAATCCCACCTGGGCAGGCTCCAGAGGGGATGGGTCTTAAGGCAGAAGATGAGTGGTCTGGGCAACTGATGGGGGAGGCAAGGGCTCATTCTGGCTCCTCCCAGAAGGTCTGGCTTTAGAGCCTAGGGAAGTGACGAAGCCAGAGAATGGGCAATGCCAGGGCCTGGGCTCCTTGGCTGTCACCTGTGACGCTGTCTGATGACATCCTGCCCTGCTTGATGAGCGGAGTTGGGGTGGCATGTGTATCTCATCCCTGACCTGCAGGACAGACATGGAGGAGGCAGGGCTGAGACACACAGTGTGGTCCAGGACACTGTCCTGAGATCCCCTCCTCTGGGCCTCGTTTCTTCACAAGCAGCATGGGCCGCCTTTCCAGACTTACTGTGAGGGCTGGAGGCAGGCTTGGCTCCAGGGGCCTGGCAGGTCCCCAGTGACAGCCCGGCCCATCTTACCGCCACCCCCCTTGCCCGTCACATCCCCCTCAGGCGCCAGTCCTCTGGGGTGACAGCCCATTCCCTCACCCTTGCCCCATATGGGATGCCTGGTCCATATTGCTGACCGAGGCACAGACTCCCTTGGGACCCCCTTTGGGATCTCTGGTTAGACTTTTCTGCCTCACAGATTCGCAAAAGCAGCTCTCAAATCACAGAACCTGTTCATTTCCAAACAAGGGAGAAGACAGCAGAATGACATGAAGTACAGTAAGCCACCTCCAATCAGAGCCCTCCACCTAGAAATACTTGGTTTTGTGACTGTAAGAAATCTGTTTCTGAAGAATTTTGGCTGTTGACCCTCAATCCTGTTCCTGTAGCCAGCCAGGAATCTTGTGGAAGCTTAGCTCCTCAAGCCCATTTCAAAAATCAGAGCACAAGAGTGTACTTTGAATTTTAGCTAAAGGAAGTATGTTGTTGTTGTTAAGTACTGTCAAGCTGGTCGGCTCATACAACCCTGTATTTGGTTTCCAAGGTGCGCTTGAGCTTGAGGTTCAAGCCAACCTCGCAGTCCAGTGCAGTAACCCACAGCGCCACACCAGGACTCCAAAGCAAATTTTTGAGGGTTTATGTGGTTCGTTTCAAGTTTTTTTGCTTGTTTCCAGGGATCATTCCATGTCATCCTTTTGGATTCAAGGGTTCTTTCTTTAGTGTTTGGGGCTGCCCCCCACCCCAAGCCCACGCCACCAAGTAGATTTATTTTAACTTTGAGGAGGCTGGCTCTTTTCAAAAAACCCACACATTTCAAAGAGATTCATACAACATTTCCTAGTGAACCATTTCTAATGTTTAAAATATTCATTCATGTAAGTGCTGGGTCCCTGTTAGGTGCCAAGCATAGGACTGAGATTAGGAGTGGCGAACTGAACCAGGCAAAATGCCCCTGCCTTCTGCCCCTAACGTGGTGGTGGTGGTGGTGTGCCGTGGAGTCGGTTCCGACTCTTAGTGACCCTGTATACGATTTCTGAGACTTTAAATATTTACCAAAGCGGAAAGCCTCATCTTTTCTCCCTCAAATAATAGGTAGTTTCGAACTGCTGACCTTGAGGTTAGCAGACCAACTCGTAACCACTACGCTACTGGAACTTTAGGGAGACAAATAAAAAGCAAATAAATAAACAATAGTAAACAAACGCTATGAAGGAAAGAAATGGTCAGGAACAAGAGACCGGCTTTTTCGATCAGAGCCATACCAAACCCACCGCCGCCAAGCCGGTTCCAGTTCATGGCAATGCCTTTTTATGGAATTAGATTGCTGGGTCATTTTTCCTTGGCACCAGCCTTTAAGTTAGTAGTCAAAAGCCAACCTTGGTCAGGAAAGCTAGTGAGTAGAGGTGCTATTCGTGGTGAAACTGGAGAATGAGTATTCAGTAGTGTATGGAAGTAAAGGAGGGAATTCCCAGACAGATAGAAGTGCAGAGGTTGAGGTCAGAAAGAGTCTGGCTGTGCCAGGAGCCGGGTGTCTGGAGTGGGGTGAGGGGACGGGGAAGACTGGGAAGCAGGATGAACAAGCCGTCAAGCTAGAGGAAGATATCTGGCAATGAAGAGGTGCTTCACACCGTATTTATTCGTTCAACTGGATCACTAAACAGCTTCATGATAAATGGAGCTAAGATTGAAGTTGTCAAAGATTTTATTTTACTTGGATCCACAATCAGTGCTCCTGGGAGCAACAGTCAAGTAATCCAAGGTCGTATTGCTCTGGGCAGATCTACTGCACAAGACCTCTTTGAAATGTTAGAGAGCAAGATGTCCCTTTGAGGACTAAGGTGCACCTGACCCAAACCCTGATCTTTTCAGTTGCCTTGTCACATATGAATGATTGATGCCTTTGACTTACGATGTTGACATAGAATGTTGAACATACCAAGTTGCTGTTGTTGTTGTTAAGTGCCATTGAGTCAGATCCGACTCATAGCGACCCTGTGTAGGGTTTCCGAGGAGCGGCCGGTGAGTTTGAACCACCGACCTTGTGGTTCACACTGATTTTGTGGTCTAATGCTTATCCTACAGTATCACACCAAGACTCCCAGAAAAAGGAACCTATCCGATGCTCCTTAGAAGCCAGGATGGCTATGCTGTGTCTCACATGCCTTGGATGTGTTACAAGGATGGATCAGGCCCCAGAGAAGGACGTTCTCGTGTTGTTGTGAAGTGCCTTCGAGTCAGTTCCTACTCATAATGACCCTGTATAGGGTTTCCAACTGCTGTTGGTGGGTTTGAACTGCATTATCCTTGGTACAATGTTGTTATTGTTGTTATGTGCCGTGGAGTCGGTTCCGACTCATGGCGACGCTGTACAGGGTTGCCAAGGCTGTAAATCTTTCCAGGAGCAGAAAGCCTCCTCTTTCCCCCGCGGAACAGCTGGTAGTTTCGAACTACTGACCGTGAGATTAGCAGCCCGATTTGTAACCCCTGTGCTACCAGAGCTCTTTATTTAGAGGGTTAGTTAAACAGAGGGAGACCATCAAAAAGAAAAGACCGGGTTTACTGGTCAGAAAGAGACTGGAGGAACCTGAGACTATGACCTTTGACCAGTCGTCAGGTCTGGAAGGAACTTGTGGCCCAATTTTCAATCAAGCAGTTGCTGTTGTTAAGTGCTGTCGAGTCAATTCCATCCCCTAACGACCCTATCTATAGGGTTCCCAAGGAGTAACTGGTGAGCTTGAACCACCGACCTTGCAATTCAAATGATTTT